AGACTTTCCTGCACCACCCTCCTTCTGTGCTCTTCTACTTTTAAATGTTGCCTCCCTAAAGCTGGGATCAGATTTTTGTTGATTTGTCTTTTTATGTTGATGTTTCAAACTGTTTGTCTCTGTTGAAAATGTTAACAGACTCAGAAAAACATTCTTCATTTTTCTAATGAAGAGTCTGTTTCTAAACCTCATTGCACTGCTTTCACTTATAGAGGAAGAACAATATGAATCACCAGGAATGTATTTTCCTTTCCCTTGATGCTCCACAGATTCATGGCAGTGTTCATAACAGTTTCCTAATTTCAGAACTAATACCTAGTCTGTGAACTCAATGGACTGTGTTCACCTTATAAGTTGATATGGCTAACTCATAAGCTAACAGTGGCTAACTTAACCGCTAAATAAGCTGTTTTAGAGGAACATTATCATTTATTAATAGTCAATTTCTGTCAATGAGACCAATAACAGTCAAACTTTCACTACGACCTTTGCTCTTTGTCTTTACTGACACCTAGGAAAAAATGGCTGCTAGCTGCTAAATGCTAGGTGCTCACCATTTATCCACTGGTTGGTTTGTAAACTGAGTATAGCCTACAGCAGTGGTTCGTTCCCAAAGTGGGGATTATAAGGGCCCGTGACTGACAGGGGCCCAAAACATTTTTAGAACATTCAGAAAAAAATATTTAAGTAACCTTTCATCAATCAATAATTAACATTAATATCACATCACATTGATAATGTACTCACTAAACTTACGATTCATTTAACTTATTTTCTTCCAAAAGTTAATTATCCAAAGCCTCTGTACACCCCCCTCTATTTACATGTAATGGTTTGGTCCTGCCTCCAAACGCTCCGCAGCGCCGCACTTTCTAGCAGCAGTGAGAGCATGTGAGGAGGGATGCTAGTACTTACGTGTGTGCCATGTCTCAATGACTCACAAAGTCAGGCTTTCAAAAAGAAAAAAAGGAGAGAAAGACAAGAGAGAGGGACTAAAGGGCGACAGTATGCCACCCAGTTTTTCAAGAGAAAAGGTGGGTGTGGTCTATGAGTGGTGTAAACTAGTCTGTTAGCTAAGCGTAGTCCATTGTAAATAATAATTGTTTTGAGGTTTTTCATTTCACTCCTCTTTTAGCTGACATTTAATAAATGCAGGTACATTTTTAGCAGCTATTCATACTAAATCAGTTGTCCCTCCCCCTGGTGCCAGGACCAACAGATCCATCTTTAGGCTCCGCAGCCCTGTCACCCCATAAGGCTTTGCAGTCTAGCCATGCTGTCCATTGAAAGCCAGTTGGCTAGAAAGCTGGACTTCAAGGACTTGATCAGTGACTTTGCCTGTAACGGCCCGTCTACACTACAGGCGTCAAAAAATGCTTTCAACGCTTCGCCCATTCATTTGAATGGGGTGACGTAGGATATTTTCAAACTTCGCCGAACTGCATTGTGGGTAGCATGGCAAGGCGTTGCAAGCATCGCGAGCGTCTATCGGCGTCAAAAGTTGAACAATGTTCAACTTTTGAGGCTCGAAGCTGGCGTCAGCCAATCAAATCCCGTTTATGCAAATCTGCCAGTACAAGCGCTAGCCAATCAAACCGCTGGGAGAGACTACGCAGGTAATTTCCTCATATTCAAAAAAATGGAGGGAAAATTCATTATAGCGGTAGTGAATCACCCGGTGCTGTATGATCAGTCTCTGTTCATCTACCGGGATACAAACCGGAGGAGCGAGGCATGGAGGGAGGTGGCAGAGACAGTGGGTGAAACTGGTAGGTTTTTGCCTGTTTGGGGATTTTATATCCAGTTTACTTCGTTTTAACATTGCTATTGCTTTGTATGTTTGTATGTCGGGGGCGGGAGATTCATGTGATTGGTTGTTGGTCGCGTTGCTCGCAAAAAATCGCCAAGCCTAAGACACGCCCAGCTTCAAGATTTTTTTATGCCTGTAGTGTAGACGGGCCGTAAGGCTGAGCAAGGGCTCGTAATAACTGTTAAAGGGCAAGGCTATGGTAACGATATTGGATCACTACATACAAGATGCATGATGAGAAAAAGACTGAGAACAGGTAATAGGCTCTGATTTAGCACCACCATCAGGCATTTCCGTTTTGTTGTCCGTTTACACTTTAATACCCGCTTATTTTGTAGTTGGTATGTATATTTAATTAAAAAATCTGCTGGTTATGTTATTTTTTTTGTTATAGCATTTTATAAATGATAATATTGGTGTTAATGTTCACTTTATTTTAATTTAAGAGGTCATGTATATTTAAGTTATATTTATTTAGATTATTGAATGTTCCATTCAAAAATGTTATTAAAAAGGCATGTACACCATAAAAGATGACTATTGAGGTCTATTGTCAGGCATGTTAGTGTTATATGAAATAGTGCAGCAGAATGTTGCAGTAGAATTTGCAGTCTGCACAGTGTTATATTTTCACCGCTCAGTGTCAGTAAATATTGTGCAGTTAGTATTGGACTACAAGATAGATGCAAGCCTGTACAGGTAGAGTTATTTAAAGCATAAATGAGTCGGTTGGGTTCTGGAGGTGTGGTTACAGCAATTGTGCTTGGTTGGCGTGGCCTGTGCCCGGTGGTGGGGCCCAATGTGATATATTTTCATGGGGCCCAAAATCCCTGGCGGCGCCCCTGCTCAGTGGGTCTCAAACTTTTTGGTCACCATTAATGTAAGCAATTATTTCCGAGGCACACATTTATATGATCATTATAGTTATTAAAAAATAAGAGAATAAATGAAAAGCAGGTATGAAATACTATATGACAGTAAAACAAGAATAAAGTTTAAAAGGTGATTTGTAAAATATCCATAAAGAAATAGTAAATCTGTTTACAGTTCTGTTTCATATGGGTGTTGAGAGATGTATCCATAGATCTCTTCATTTTGCTCTCAAAGTGCACCAGATTGATGCATTTAACTTCAATATTTAAAAATTAATCTTCCTGGGGGAGCTTGCCCCCGGACCCCCCCATGTGAGGTCCACACACCACCTATAAAAATAGCACTTTACCCCTGCTTACACCTACAGTATATGCCGTGAGCTGATTATCGAGCCTTCATTGTAACAGTCGTGGGTACACTGTGTATTTGGGTGGGGAGTGTTGCAGTAGAAAATTCCACTGTAGCGGTACATTAATGGGAAACCCTAAATGTTTGAGCACCCTCTATGAAACATCAAGCTACCCCACAGCACCCCCAAAATAAATCTCTGGTGCCGCCACTGAGCCTGACTTGTGTTGGGGGGGGCCCAACTTTTTTTTTCTCTAAAGGGGGGGCCTGACAGAAAAAGCTTGAGAACCACTGGCCTACAGTGTGTTTTAGATATGTTTTGCTTGAAGCTGTAAAATAACAAAACCATGAGAGAAATTACAATTGGGAGCAAAGCCAAAACAACAAGCTAAAAGATGCTATAAAATTCCTTTAAGCTAACAAACTTTTAATTATTATACTGTCTGGGGTTGTGTGCCAACATTTAACATACAATAGTCATGTTGCGTGACATATTAATGTGGACATATTTATTAGAGCAGCTCTAAATAAAAATGTCATTCATACTTACATTTGAAATCACGTGTTTCCAAATAGATAAACTAAACTGAAGATTACATATATATTTATGGCTAACAAAAATCTGTTTTTCTTTATGGTTAGCAACATTATATTTTATGGATAAGCCCCTGCCTTCATTTCCAAGTGTGAATCCATTCAGCTGCTTTGCTTAAAAAATAAAGTTTGTGGTTAGTCATCATCACAAGGATAAGTTTGAATGGACACATGGTGACTTGAAAAAAACTATGAGCCAGGATGACGAAGCAACATTGCGTGTTGCACTCACCACAATGCAGCACAACTTGGACATCCTTTACACATCATAAGACAACAAACTGTGTGTGGAAATTGTTTCAACATAATTTCACAACATCCTAAGGGTAACTGTTTATCATGTGCAGTTTGAAAAACCACCAGAACTGATTCACCATGTCAAAAGTCAAACACATCTGAGGTTGGGTAGGTTGCCAAGAACAATAAAGGCTTGTTAATCACATACTAAAGCGTCAAAGAAATGTAAGAACATTTTGAAGTATGCTTTTCTGATGTACCCTAATAGAATATTGACGAATGTATATTTCCTTTTGGTGAATCTTTACAAACTTTAGTCTATCTTTTATGTTATAGGAATCAGTCCTATTGCCACATAAACTATGGGAATCCTTCACAGTACAACGTTTTTCATGATAGAAAAAGGAAAATGTTTACGTATCGATCCATTACTTTTTAAAGCAGGAAATGTTGGATCATCAATCAAATATGGAGGCATGTGGTGCAGTGAGTTGTGCGTTGGTGTTTGGATCAGGGGGTTACAGGTTCAAACCCCACTGCAGTCAGCATGTCATTGTGTCCCTGGGCAAGACACTTCACCCCAAATTGCTCCTGTGGGGATTGCCCACAGTATTGAGTATGTAAGTCGCTTTGGATAAAAGTGTCTAACATGTAATGTAATGTAAAAACATTATTAAAAAGGGGCTGAAACTACATAATTGGAATTGGAATGCACCGAAGGCAGCTCATTGTAATGTTTACTGTTAGTCTGCATTATGTTATTACTCATATATGATTATAAAAGCTTCCACCCAGAGGCAAACAACACATTTCCGAGAAATGCATGAAATGTCTCTGCTGTTAACTTGTGTCAAAAAATGCATTGAATTGCTTCATCAAAATAACTGAGAAACCAACACTGCTTCTTTGTTTTACAGAAAGAAACAAGGCGCCAAATCACATTTTTGGAAAAACATTGTAAGAGAGGGGTTTCGTAAACTACACATTTGCACCGTACCTAGATAGACGTTTATATGACAAAATATCCTCTTAGTAAATAGGGAAGTGAGAGGTAAACTGCAACAGTCAGTCTGGATAGCATAAACACAGTTAACAAGCACTGTTGAAAACATATAAAGGAGTATTTTAGATTGCTTACTGAAAGCTGCCACAGCCATTATGAGCGTGACCACGATGGACACCCAGGAGACCCAGAGGGCCTTCTTCCTGTAGCTCTGAGCTTCGTGGGGCTTCAGCCGCATGCTGCTCTCGAGAAGACCTGCAATAAAAAACAAAAACTCTGTTACAATTCTTTCTTTCTTTGTCTTTGTTTTTTGTAATGGCCATTTATGTTTTATTGCAATATCATATCAGGCATCAGAGGTTGCATAAATGGTCATTTGACCTTTTCCAAAACTTATATTGGATAGGAATAAGATTCTCATAAAACTTAAATCAGTACTTTGAATGAACAATCTACTGGTATGGATAAAATAAGAATGTTTGTTATGTTATTATATTATGGACGTGAATTAAATAAGAGAACGTTGGATTTTGTTTTCGCAAAGAACACTAACACCGGTCTTCTGACTGAAAGTCCTGTTCTGTGTCTATCCAGCCAACCAACCCATGTTTTTCCATAGGGTCATTTCCACCCTTTTTTATTGGAACAGTTCCACAACAATGGTGTATTTTTTTCGTCTGAATATAAAGACAAAGCATTTACTAGACTCCTGGGGCCTATACTACGAAGCTGGTTCAACCTAACCTGGATATGTTTGAGTTAGCCGGTTGGCCTAATCCAAAACATACGCGCTCTCGCTAAACTGTACTACGACGCTGGCTATCAACTCGTTCGCTCAAGCCAGCCGTGTCCTATCTAGTTAGGTGCGCGTTCACATGAAAGGGGTGGTATCTGGAGCATTCGACCAATCACAAACATGGAGAAGCGTACTGACAGCGCAGCGCGTCATACTTCCTGAATGAAAAGTGAACTTTAATACTAGTCAAATATGAAGAAGTTAAACTTTAAACATCCATGACTTAAACACTTTATCCAGGATAAAAGCCACATAGACCTGCAAGGTGAATACAGCTGGTAACAGAACAAGTGTTTGAATGCGTACATTAACAGGTTTATGATATCACTGCCCCGTCTAAGACACGATCTGACTTTAATTACATTTGTCTCGAGTGTTTCGTCAACTTAATGTGTTGCTTAAAATAATACTTCTGCATACAGTATGTGACACTGTGAGTGTTGCACGGCCAGATACGGCTCAGCTGACTCAGATAAGGAGATATATGATACATTATGAAGTGATATGCCGCGGACTGTAGGCCTACTTAATGTTACTCTGATCCGGTTACTTATGTTGTGGCAGATATTTAAGTAAGCTTTCTTAACGCTAATGTTATAATAGTCAGATTGCTCTGAAGATGGGAGGTGATATTCTACTAATGTTCACGTTCACACAGTCGGTGATTTTTGCCGGCCGTCTTTCCTGCGACGGCAGCTTTTCTGTATTTCCTTTCTCCTGTAATATGACTTGATCGCTTGAAACTCTGCACACTGAGCTCTGATTGGTCAGCAGGCGGTGCTTTCACTGAGTTGAGCTCTTAGCCTGCAACCTAACCTGGTCCCGACCAGGTTAGCCGCTAAGCATAAGTTACCATGGAGATCTAGCCTGCTAAAAAGAGAACCAGCGTCGTAGGACCGGAAAGCCGGAGTTTTCCCTGAATTTAGCCGGCTAAGCGAAAATCCTGCATCCTGGTGCTAGGATGGGTTAAAAGCAGAGGCCAAATGTCACTGTGTGTGCTGTGTGCTCTGCATGTGTGACCATTATAGAGGGTTTCATCCCTCCCATTCTATCTATAATATGCCAGACAAAATTATGAGGCAAAATGGTAATTCATACTATGAGTCCAAGTGTCCACGAGGCTCCGGTCTTTGTGACTCAAATAACATCATGCGCTGTGTCCGCGCAAGTCATTTTCATGCAGTCCAACATTTTAAGTTATGACATTTGAAAAACATTACAAAAGTGACCAAATGCATTCGATAAATGTATATTTGTAGTAGCCTACAAAGTACATTTTTAGAAAAGGGATTTAATCGGTTGGATTGATTGATTAAATCCGGTCCTAAAGTCTATTTACTGTTGTGTGTAAAAATAATTAAAAGTATTCCGAATCAAAAGGGAGGTCAGTGGTCAGGCTCCGCTAATGCTTCATGACAATACTGCTCATAAAAAAGCATTGTTGTTGTAGCAGCTACAACCAATCCACTACAAGTCCCCAATAGACTTATCAATGTGTATTCATTGCTGCCTTCAACATGAATGGGGTTTTAAGTTCCACCCTCCATGCATCTTTCCTGTAAGATAATTCTCCACACCTTCCAGGAAAGCACAAGACCATCATCAATTTACACTGAGTGACGTTGTGTAATACCCGAGGAACCCCAGTATAATGCAGATAACAGGGACAGCTTGTCAAGTTTTACTTTCTATACTCTTTTCCATTGAGTTAAACCAAATGAATACACATATATATTTCTATTTATATAAATATATATTTATTTACCATGATGATGCCATATCATTTTAATATCCAACTTTAATAGCTGTTTAAGGCGCAATTCCCTTCTAAGAGACTAAACAGTTATAATGGCTTAAGAAGAATACTCATTATATTATTATTCCACATGTAATTTATTTCTGTGAGAAAAGTGATTGCCTGAAGTCAGACAAACTGCCTGAAGCTATTCTGTTGTCATCAAGCACTGCACAACAAGGTTCAACACGGATGAGGTGTCATTGCAGTGGGAGAGGAATTATTCAAGAGAGAGCAAAAACACTTCCTCCGGGAAGTAGGACTTTGCCTTTTACATGCTACCTTCTTTTTAAAACCCAAAATTCTAAAATCTCATTGACCATGGCTGAAAGTTCCACTTTCTGTAGTCAATGTAACACAAAACTGCGTCATTTGTCTAATGAATATTTAATTGTAAATAGATGTTCATGTGCCACATCACCTCTGCAGGGTTATAGAAGGTTAAAGGAGGGCTACCGTGTTTTAGTATTAGGCTTTTCATACATTTAGCAAAAGACAGACATTAAATAATAGCGGGGAAAAAGCAGCTGGTAGAGATATTATGACATTTAGTAATTAGTGTAGATCAAGCTCCTAAAATGCTACATTATATTTTACATGTCCTGTGATGCAATTAACCGCATATTTTAGTTTGGCCCTTCCTGTCTGGTACAAGCACGCATCTCTGATACCCCACACATCCAGTTTGTTATGCAGGCTCTCTGTTTAGAGACTTTACTGTGAAATTATATTTTCTCAGACTATACAAAGCTCTTCCTGACACACAGAGGACGTTATACCAATACCCCTGAGTCATCATGACTTGACAATTGACCTTTATTGTCTGCGTAAAATCTGTTGAGTTCCCTTTCTTTCTTTTTTTTATCAGCCTTGGTTTCAATGAGTATCCTTTTTCTTGTAGAAAAGCTTGATGCTGGGGCACTTAAGTACATTTTGTATCCCTACACTTTGTTCCCCCCAGAAAAAATGGTGTAGCCCAAATTAGAAAAAGGCCCTTTTGACAAATGTACCATGAGACAACCACTGTACCACACATTTATTTGATTGTCTTTTTTATCTTCGCATTTCTTTGGGATGGAAATATCCCCATGCACACAGCCCTGTTAACTGCCATTGCTTAGTATACAATGTGTTTTTCAATCTGCTTTGCTTAAAGCAGCAAAAGAAAGACACTGTAGGAGCCATGAGAGTGAACCAATGCAGTAAAGTTGAGGGGAACAAAGCCAAAGATATGAGCAAGAAGATGCTATAAAACTCCATTAAGCTAACGTGAACTTTCGAGTCGGGCGAAGATTCTGTGTGGGTTTGTCCTCAAAAATTTATTAAAGCGATCTTGTATCTTATGTGAGAAAATGACCATTTCACATTGGTATCATGGGTATCATTCATACTTAAATTCATTAGAAAAAACTGTATTTTTTTTTTGTTTGTTTCATGTCTCTAGAATGGCAAGTTCCCCCAGCAAATATCCATTCTTACTCCCACTGCTTGTCTAGTGTGAGTGTAGACAGAAGGAGACGTTGCAGACACAGTGTCCACAAGGAGTTGGTGCTACTAGGATGACATCTCTCACCAGCTTCCCACCATTGAACACTGCCAACTGCTTTTGACGGACAGCCAGACACTTCACTCCAAGCAATGTACTTTTGCAACTGACATTAGTTAATTACAAGAGTAATGTATCTTTCACTTTTGGTAGCTCGAAGTGCTAAGGTTAAAAGGCATGTGCCTGGGGCCACTTAAGTTTTGATAATGCATCTGTTAAAATATACTTTTTGCTATCAAAATGTGTCAAATGGGAGGCAGAGAAAGCCATTACTTATATTTGTTTCAGATATATTTCAATACCTTTGTATGTAATGACCCTTAATGCAGGGTTTAAGATGTAAGATGTATGGTTAGATGGATATTTCTCACAGCTTTCATTTTGAGCATTCAGTATTCACACATGCAAGTGTTGTTGTCACAAGAGGAGTACATAAAACACAAACCTTTGATTAACAACATCCCTAGGGCACAATCACATTCACCCCTTGACCATCATCATCTAGCTGTGTGAAATCATTGTATCTGGCCATAATTGATTACTTTGATGATAGAAATTCTAAAGAAATTACATGGCTTTTGTGTAGAAGCTAAAAAAAAAGTGTCACAATGCAAATGTGTGTGTGTGTGTGTGTGTGTGTGTGTGTGTGTGTGTGTGTGTGTGTGTGTGTGTGTGTGTGTGTGTGTGTGTGTGTGTGTGTGTGTGTGGTGTGTGTGTGTGTGTGTGTGTGTGTGTGTGTGTGTGTGTGTGTGTGTGTGTGTGTGTGTGTGTGTGTGTGTGTGTGTGTGTGTCAGAGTGAAGTCTCGTGTAAATGATTTGAATGACTAGTGTTACACTAAAGGCATGAAAGCCCAGCTAAAAGTGTGTAGCTTGTTAGAACCATTGGTTGTGTGACAGGCTAACTGATTGCAAGACATATTTAAAAGAACAAATCTTATAACCTGTGACTGACCTGCTTTGATAACTCCTTGATAAGGAGTGACTCTGGAGAAACCATTGTTTCCAGAACAGAAATGGCCAGATCACAAGTAAAGCTTACATAAATGGAATATTCCAAAAAGGTTTGTTCAAAATCATAATTGATTGTACTAGACAAATTATGACCTTTTTATGTATCTAGCTGAGAAAATGCCGATAATTAAACTGCACATGGAGCTACTTTGAAACCTTTAAAAATAAAAAATGATAATGTGGTGTCTGGGTTTTAAACTTAAAAACAGAAACATGACTGTTGTTCAAAAGCCTTTTAGCGAGACCGGCTAACAAGCATGTGGGTGTGTGTCTGATGTGTGACTGAGGGAGTGAGGCAGCATGGTTAAATCCCTTTGCTCACATGATCCCAGGCTGGGGGATCAGACAGAAGGCATGTGCTCAACATCTTCTCATGCACTGTGGAGAGGCAGAGGAGCATGAATTATTTCACAGATTATCTGTCTCAAGCTTTTACAGTAAGGATTTAGTGTCAGTTTTGGCAAATATGACAAAAAAAAGTAGTTATTATAATAAAGTAGCAGATTTAGTGGGAAATATAGGTTCAAGTTTTTGGGTATTCGAGCCAAACAGTTCAATGCATCTTTCTTCTTTTATCCTTCATTCTGAATGTATCTCTTGCTCGTGTAGATACAAGGTGGATACTGTCCGTTGATATAAAATACATCCAATAAAATAACTCTACCTATTCTAAATGCAATAACCATTTCTTTGTTTTATTGACTCCACGTCTGCTTAATTATATTAGCATCAAAACTACTGAGTTCAATTAACATTTCAAATATCCATTGAAATCAGATCCATAATAACTGAATGCATACATAAACCAATTAGCTTATAACTGAGGCCCTGTTATTATCAACTGTGGAATGTTTTCCAGAGGTCTTTCTTCATGTTAGAAGATGAATGGGATTAAATTAGTGGAAAAGTACACAAATACACATCAAGCACAGTTAGGGGTTTGGCATGCATGTGACTGGTATCAGCATAGCTTTGGCTGTGCCCCAATGTGCATGACTTTTCCCCAGAGGCAAGTACAAATGAAAAAAATAATGGAAAGCTTTTGGGATTGGATTCAATGTATCAATATGTTGAGCTTTGAATTAAACTTCCGCTTCACTCTGATCTGCTGATGTAGGACTGTTGTAAATTATTTAAAAGACAGCAGGCTAAAAATACCTCACATGGATAAAAATACCCCTCCCATCTCCCTATGGTACCCTTTAACACTTCATAGACTATGCATTCATAACTTTAAAAAAAATCCAATTAATGGATGAAGTTACCTTCTCCCTCCACACTGTCTGTGATGTTCATCTCCTGGCCCGTGGGGAGCGTATCGGGCTGGCCGGGGCTCTTGGTAGGCTGGTGGTGGTTGTTGGTGAAGCCATCCTGGGCGCACTGGCCGTTCCGCATCGCAGCCGTAAAGGGATCCACAATAGTCGGGTCTGGGACAGGGTAGGTGTCCTGGGAGGCCGGGTCCGTCATTGTTGTTGCTGTTCGTTTTGTTTGCAGACTCAAAGAAAGGATGATGAGGAAGAGATTCACGCCGGAGTAAGTGCAGAAGCCATCCAGCGTGTCCTAATAAAGCCCGGTGTAGACTCAGCTGCTGCGCAGAGGGGTGGGAAGGCGATTCGAGATGGGAGATAAAGGGTTGATCTCCCCAGCATCAGCAGCGAGACAACTCCCTCTCTATGGAAAGTGAACCCTGCAAAGTGCAGCCTCTGTGGAAACCGCCAGTTAGACACAGTTTAGGGTTAAATGCGGCGATGGAATAAATGCTGAGATCTGCTGTGGATATGGCAGGCGGTGCCAGCAAGTTTTTTTTTTTTTTTTTGTTATCTCTCTCCACCCCTTTCCTCCTTCTCTCCTCTCAGAACTCACCACCTATTTCTCATACAGGCCACTCTATGACAGTGGTGGAAGAAGTACAGCTCTTTTACCTAAGCAACATTGTGGAAATACAAGTAAAACTCCTATTCAAAATCTTACTTAGTAGTAATAGTACAAGAGTTTTGGTATCACAATACACTTTAACTGTTAGTTAACAGGGAAATAACTAGTTGGCCCATTTCATAATAAGATGTATTTCATTTCATTTATCTAAACCTGTAAAGTAAAGTTGTAAAAGTTAAAGATATTGTCTTCCAAATGTAGTGAAGTAGAGGTACACAATTAGCAGAACATCTAAATACTCAGGTTAAAGGTAGGGTAGGTAAGAATGGAGAAACCAGCTTGAGTGCGCTAGAATTTGAAAGTACACAACCGGAAAAAATACAGAGCCCCTCACCCAAGACACACGAACGCGCACATGACCAATGAGGGCACGAGATAAGTTTGTGCACAGATGGAAGGCTGACAGGCCAACCCAGTCTCACGGCATTTCGTGTTCACCAACACGATTTTTAATCTATTGATTCGTGTTCACCAACACGATTTGCCCCTTTTTTTCGTGTTGCACAGCACGATTTTAAAAGCAATTTATTTCTACTGCCTGCAGCACGTCTTTTTCTCTGGTCGGGTCGTGGGAGACCGGAAGCTGTGTGGTTCATAAAAACATGTTCTTACTCAATATCAAGCCACAATTATTAAATCGTATAATTTCGGACTTTTGTTGCCGTCTGTGAGGAAAATAAATGGGGCTCAGAGCCTCAGAATACGGAAATCTGTATTTTTAAATATTTTTTTCCTTCTAATTCGTCATTCTTTTCAAAAATAACACACTGTTATTTACTCACCAATAACACACAATTATCCTTGCTTTTATTTATTGGTTTAATTCCATAATATCGGGCTTTTTTGGCGTCCGTCAGGAACTGCATTTCAAAATAAAAATAACCGGGAACAGACGTAGGCCTATAAGGGACATTTCGAGCATCATTGCGATTGTCAACATTTCTGAGTTTAGGATGGCCGAAGACACTACACTACCCATAATCCCCAGCTATTGTTTAGGACTACAGTCCCCGTAAGGTTACGCAGAGCGTCAAACAGCTGTGTGAAATGGAACGAAACCACGCCAGACTATCCAAAACTGGAATCGAACGCCCCCCCAGAACTAAACATGCTGGCTATTGTGTTTCGCAAAATGTTCTATGGGACGTCTCTACTGAACATTTTCGTTTTTCCCACAATTAGAAGTTGCAAGTATTAAACACATTGGTGTTATCAAATGTAAAACATATAATTAATAAATGGGTGAAAATCGCTTGTGTCCATAATGCGCAGCATTACCCACATGACAGCTCATTGTTACTTTGTCATTCTACTCCACTACAATTCAGAGGTTAACCTGGTATTTTTACTCCACTGCATTTATTTGAGTTACTTTGCAGATTCTGATTAATTATGTGAAATATAAACAAACCTTAAATCAGACTTTAGTTACACCTGAGTAAAATTCAGGTAAGGTGATTGTCAAGTGCCAACAATCAGGAGAGATATTTGATAGTTGGTGCTTGAGCAGACTAAACATGTATCTGCAATTGACATGAATGGAAACGAGTAATAAAGTATATTCATTACTCGTTATTCTCTACTAATAGTTAATTAAAGACTGTATATTATGGCTATTTTGCACATCCCTTTTAAGATTTTCAAAGGTTTATTGACATATCATATACACAACTACGGTGTAGTTATGCAATGAATGAAACACTTGGGTCACAGGTTCCTCAACAGTGCATTACAAGACATCTATCAATATGTGTGTACCTCCACCATTAAACTGTCATATTCTGCACATTTCTTATTCTATCTACATACATAAGAGTATAATTCATATGTATAATATCAGTTAAAATAAGTGCTTCAACATAGTTAACATTGCAGGAAAGCAATATATTAGACGTTAAGTACTTTGTCAGGCTTAATATTTATCTGTAGATAGATACCCCCAAAGTTTTTTTCTTATTTAAAAGAAGACCTTAATCTGTTATTTAATGTTTAAATAAAGGTTAATTCGTTTTTCTGTTTTGCACCTCCTCCTATTAATATCTTTGTACATTCTGCACTAAACTGTTTTATTGTAGAGATCACTTATAGTATCTTCTTGATTTTTTATATTCTATATTTATACTTTCCTCCTATGAAAGTATGTACTCTTAATATTTTTTTAATCAAATAAAACACAATAATTCAATAACGTGCTTTAACCACTAGGAGGTGCACACAATGTACACACAGCCATAATAACTTTGTATTATTAGTGTAGGACACTTGTGTTTTCGTACAACATCTGAAGATGTGTAGTTTTATGCATGCTTTCACATAATTTTACAGCATATTGCTATACTATTTCAGACTCAGTATTTACATTCTTACATTCAAAGAAAATCAGTAATATCTTTAAAAACTACAGTTATTTTATATCAGCTGTGCACCGTATGGTGTAAATATGACCTATCTGTGAATTAGATCAAATGTAAAAGTCAGCCGAATTAGTGTTGATACTGCAAGGAGACGTATTGTGTGAAGAGAAATTGAAGATGTTGTTTAATTGTTGAATATATTTATGATCCACGTCAAGTATTCAGTTTTGGCGGCATTTTCTCAGTTTTTCCAAAGGTCTTCTCATCAGGGCTCTATAAATAAAGAACTACGGCAGATCTGTAATATACAATGCAGCCGAACCGTGTATTACAATGCCGTTATGTGATGACTTTCAAAGAGAAAAGCAAGAGCGCTCGGAATTAAGTATTATTTTATTCTTTTAAAATGTTTTCCGGATTTCATATCATATAAACACCAAATCCCAGCATGCATTGCGGCTAAAACATCCAATAAGCGAGCTTAAAACCATAGCTGAGGATCTTGGGTAATCGCGCGAAATACCTACGTCTGTTTCCGGTTATTTTTATTTTGAAATTCAGTTCCTGACGGACGCCAAAAAAGCCCGAGATTATGGAATTAAACCAATAAATAAAAGCAAGGATAATTGTGTGTTATGGGTGAGTAAATAACAGTGTGTTATCTTGAAAAGAATAACAAATTAGAAGGAAAAAAAGATTTAAAAAATACAGATTTCAGTATCCTGAGGCTCTGAGCCCCATTTATTTTCCTCACAGACGGCAACAAAAGTCCGAAATTATACGATTTCAAATAAAAGCAATAATTGTGGCTTGATATTGAGTAAGAACATGTTTTTATGAACCACACAGCTTCCGGTCTTCCTCGACCCGACCGGAGAAAAAGATGTGCTGCAGGCAGTAGAAATACATTGCTTTTAAAATCGTGCTGTGCAACACGAAAAAAAGTGGCAAATCGTGTTGGTGAACACGAATCAATAGATTAAAAATCGTGTTGGTGAACACGAAATGCCGTGAGACTGGGTTGGACAGGCAGGTAGGCCATCCAGTTATTTTAGCCGGGCCGGCACAGATGATTGGTCGTGCTTTTTACAGCGCTACGGCTTCCACAGATGACATTTGTTTATGTATTTATTGTCAAAGCATTTAATGTATTCATTGCTATCTTCATGTTAAGAGCATTCCATGGAATATAACAAAAAGTGTCTCTGAAGTAAATGACCTACCCTACCTTTAAGTACCCTACAAGTACCTCAAAAGTCAAAATTGTACTAAGCTACAGTTTTTGAGTAAATGTACATTCTACCATTGTGTGTGAGGAGCATACACAACAAAGCAAAAATATAAATTATAAAAGCACCAACAATTGAACTTTTATGAAAACTATTTAAAAAAAATACTGTTATAACATGTACACAAAATAAAGACATACAAAACATTTACGTACAGTACAACATGACAACATTAAAAGTGTGCAGTATTGGGATTTAAAGTGAAAAGCTGAGCAGATATTACAAGAGGTAGCTTTGTATCCAAATATGCAAAATATACAGTGTTATGTGAGGAATTCAAGAACTTAAAATAATGTTTATGAAAAACACCTTATTAAGTAGGATTAGAAAACATTTACTTAGATACAAAATACTTTATAGTGCTCCTTGTGGTTTCTGAGGTACAGCCATGTTCTTGTCATACTATACGTATGAGTACATAGAGTCGTTTTTTTTTCCTGAAAAAGAAAGAAATATAGAAAAAAAGAGTAGTCCCAAGGGCCCAAAATCTAATTATGGTACAGAGGAAAAAGTCCAATTTCAACAAAACAGTTTCACCGTTTTTGAAGATCCCAGAGAACACTCCCACCAAAAGGAAATTCCACATTTCAATTGCTGGAACAAATGGGTTAATGGAATTAGAGGTAAGGGGTTTAGTTTATTTACGTGCCAGTGGTTTTGCTCTCTAATCCGAGAATCAATTCATTGACCCATGGTAGATCCAATTATCAGCATGCAAATCAATTATGTTCTCACCTGCCTGCAAGCTGTCAGGATGAACAATAAGTAACAACTACTGACCAACAGGTGGCACCAAAACCTGCAATTATGAGAAGGTGAGGATGTGAACTCAGGATAAAAATCATTTCCGTAAAATATAAATGAGATTGACACCGATTTGCTCTACCGTCAATAACAAACAGCCTATAGTCAAAAGGCATAATGATAATGTACGAACATCATCTTTACCCTTAAATGGTTTCTATCCTGGGGGGGACGGACATTTTAACATGCTCTGCCCATGTCAAGCATTAAGCTTTGTGGAATTGAGTACATTTACTCAACCATTATATTTTGACATAATTGTGCCACGCAAGTACCAAGTGTTGTACATTTTTTACTCAACTTTCATTTAATACCCATAGTTATTTTTAACTAGAAAATCATGATATTGTTATGTGATATTATACATTACTTTACAAACAATAACCCAGTATTTTACAAAG